AAGGGAGAAAGGTCATCTTGAATGACCCAGTCTCCTTGAATAAAAGAGGTGGACAACTCTTCCTTGCGATCCTCGGCCTCAACAGCCAGTCCAGAATTTGTCAGCTGGATCTGAAGTCTTTAAGTCTCGGCCGGCGTGCATAGCTCCATAACACTTACAAACCAACGACCGCCGGTTGTGCACAGTTTCCCCGCGGCATGAGGGTACATTTGCAAAGTGCTTGCCAGGGCGTCGTGGAAACGCTCAATGTCAATGGACCCATCGAATGCATGGACATTGTCCACCTAAAAACGGTCCTCTTATCAGAGGGACTGAGAACCAAGCGGCTGAGTGAAACTCACAAGTGCAGCCATAAGTCGTAACCCGGAAGATCAACAGACTCGCTGCCTGCAAGTATAGTGGGTCCCTTGGGAACAACGTACTGAATGACTGGCGGAGACATTATCGAGCCAGGCAAAAAAAACAGACCAGTACATTAGTTGAACAATGACAACCCAGTAGATATAGTACGCGTAACATAGCTGGTCGAAAAAATGTCGGCGGTTCCAAAGTTGGATGAAAAATCACCCTCTTGCAAAGAGAATGAATATACGTGATTTGAATACCGAAGAATTGCAGATCCATTGCGGGCCCATCGGCTGAGAGCATCGCGAGAAGGCATACGATAATTGCCTTGATCGACCATTTGCCGAGCCCCTTGGAAAGTTGCGACACGGGCGTCGTATGACATGCACATATGGCGATGAGCACGGCATAACTCGAAGGATCTTTCGGCCGAGATTGTATGTTATCGGGGTTCACAATAACTTCCTGACGGAAACCAAAGCAACAAGTGAGAAGATGTTTCAATGGTGTGTCATTTTCGAAGTGAATTGGTGATGGCAAGCGACACGATAACGGGCCCCAGATCGGCGGTGAAGGAATGCTATTTGTATATGTACGTGACTATAAGGTAAAAAAAACAGGGAGTCAGTACATGCTCAAGAATAGAGGCAACTGAACCATAAGCAAAACCTGCACTGTGCAAACCAATGGTCAAAGGCGCTGTGTCAAAAGGTTACATTCTCGAACACAAGCCAACCATGAAAGTGGATCGTCAACGTCGAAGCGGTGCAGAATAACAAGATAACCGCACTATACTGGAAGATGAGTACCATCGTGTCATTGATTGGTCGGCAGCGGCACAACTATGATTCAATGGGCTCCTAACATAGCCAAACAAAACAAACACCCTATTATCAAGATTTATGTTAACTTTCGATGTGACAAGATACATATAATCTTCTACATCCTGTCCTTTTTGTACTGCATGCAACGTGTAACGTGTGGTCCATGGAACTCATCCACGCATTCTCTTGGGTGGCTTAGGTTCTAGACATCCTACATTAAAACTTAGATGGATAGCAAGAAATGAAACCTTACTGGGTTTGTTTGGCTCAAATTCGTCACCACCATCAGTTGCAGATGAAGACGTGCCGCTCAATGAGACAGTAGCAGTGTCAGAAGTCTGTCGTCGTAATCGGCGCTTCGGGCGAGGTCCCTTGGAGCTTGCTGCAGTGTGTGTGCAGGTGCCGTCACGGGTGGTGCAGCATTCGAATGTACTGCAGCGCTGACAGCACTCAATCGCGGTAATCGTATCTTCAACGTTGGAGTAGCAGACTGGGTAGACTGGGTGATTGTGACCGAGGCCTTGGGAGTAATAGGTGTATTGACTTTGTGAGGATTGGAGGTGGGCAATACCGAAGCACTACTCAAGTCAGAAGTATCAGGACCCACAGACGGATCATGGAACTAGATGCCGGCGCAGGGGCCTGAGCGCTTGCCACAATGCACCCTCATCCTTTGCTGTTCCGATGGTCTGGGCTTCCGGCGTTGTCGAGTAGTCCTCGTAGACTTCCCTTGCTATAAATTCGGGAGCATACACACGTAAGTGACAGACCAGAAGAAATCCACAGTACTCACAGCCTCTGCTTGCTTCTCGGAGTTATCAGGCAGACGTAAATTGACTTCCTCCGCCTCCTGTTTCACCGCAGTTCGCGCCCTCTTGGGCCGCACCGGAGCCGACTGGTCAAGAGGAGTTTGTACTGATAGCTTGGCGGCGGAACCATTCTCAGTCGCAAGGAGAGCGGACTTCATAGGTGCTTTGCGCTGCAAGAATCCTCCTCAGTGACACAAATATACAGGTGATCAGTTAACCAGTCGACATACCTTGTAGTAGACGCTCTCAACGCCTCCACCTGCGGGGGTAAAGGTATCGTAGGTGGTAACTCTGCTTCCGTTTGCGTACTGGAATCAACGAGATTATTTGAACTACCAACAGGAGCATGTCTCTGCTCTGTTTGTATGGTCAGCATTCGCTGGAAATTGCACAATGCCTATAAACTGTGTTAACCCTGAAACGGAGTGATGATGGAAGCTCTCAAACGGTTCTTACCTGCGCAGCATGCAATTCATCTCGTGAGATAAGAGGACCTTCTGGTAATGTGCCAATGCTTTCATCAAAATCATCCAAAGAGCTCAGGGACGTGAGAGGCGAAGACATCGCGGACACCGGTGGCCTATTTCCGCATTAACGACCGTTACTCGTCAATGCCACACACATACCTTTGATCAAGATGCTGATCTTTGCTGATCTTATTCCAGAAATCGAGCATGATCACTTTCTCCGGAACCCTATATCTTCGGCCACTGATAAGGATTTCATCAAAGACTAACTTCTCTGCCATCGAAGTGCCCTGTGGGTGGACAACGTCGATGTTGCCATTATTAAACTGGCGTGGTTTTGTAATGTCTATCATGGGTGGATTTTGCTTGGGAATGCGACGCTTGGGTTGCTGGGAGCACAGTAAACCATGCAAGCCCAACCAAAGGACTGTGAGGACTTACCAAAACGTGATCTGCGTGGTTGGGACACATCCACTTCTTATTGAACGGAGGCATAGCCACGAGAGGCGGGTCGAGACAATCTAAATGCCAATGAAGACTGCAGTAATCGCAGGACACCATGCTTCTCCAAACTTCGGGAGTGGCACTATGGGAGGACGAAGTTGACCTCCTAGAACGCTTTGCTGGTGGAGCAGATACATCAACAACACTGGGAAGGGTAGATGTTCCGCAACGGAAGCAAAGTACAGGGACACCGTTCTTGTCTTTCAGGCGATAAGGTTCGCGTTCCTCGAGCTGACCATGGCGACTACAAGCATTGAGTAACGAATGGAGACATGTGGAATTTCACTCTCACTTCAGGCGAGGTGGTTTGACCTCTGAGCCATCAACGTAACACCCATTGGAACCAGTAGCAACTAGTTCGTCGACGATGAGACTATTGACATATAAGCAGCCATGAAGAAACATACCATCCTTGAAGAAACTTCTAACATCTTCTGGAAGCTGGAATTCCTTCGGAATGTTTGTCTGTGCTTGATGAATGAGGGGCGACATGAAGGAAGGAGGGGGTTTGATCGGTGGACGCTGTTGTAGCATGGGATGAAATCCTTGTACAAAGTCCTAGCAACAGAACAAACACACCTTCCGAATCGTGCAGCTAGGACAAAACCACCTCTCGCCGAGTTCCGGCAGGTCCACAGTTTCCATTGGTGGGTCCAAGCACCAGAGATGGAAGGCTCGTGGGCATCCATCACAATATACCAGAGCTCCCAATGACCGGCAGGATGAGCAGTGATCTTCGTTCAACTAAACAACACAGCAATGAGGGGTATGATCGCAAGTAAGGGACCAAATGCGCACCAGTCCAAGTGAAGGGTCGGGAGAGAGCGAGTACGTGGCCATTGGTTCCTCCTTGATCTTTACAGAGTGCTTCTCAGTCTCTTTTCCTTTTCCTTTGTCTTTTCTCGGTCTTCCTCTTCCATTTGATACAACTGGAAGGGGCAGTTGGGGCGGCAAGGGTTCATCGAGAGCAGGAGCAGAGGTAGCTCGGGAAATTGAAAGCTCGTCAAAGTCATGGTTTATCGGAAAAGGGTCGGAGTCTTGGAGTGGGGGTATGCTGGGTTGGCGAGAAGATGCTTCAGCGACGATGAGATCCGGCGGAGGAATGGCATTGCTATTCAAGTTACGAGCAGATGCACGTTGAGCCCTTCCATTTGCGGTTCTTTTTCAAGGATAAGCGGACAGCGACGTGGCAAATTTTGAAGGGGGACGAGCGTGGATAGTTTTTGCAGCATGACAGCAGAGATGATTAGCGTCGGGACCAGGTGGAATACAATGACTTACCCTTTGTCGACCCTAGCACGTTTGCGCCGTTGCCCTTCAGCATCTGAGGCACTGAGGGCAGTAGAAGCCATTAATCCAGAGTAGGTGGTGCCTGGATCAGATGCTGGGAGATATGACACAAAAGCTCCTGGTTTCTTCGGGTCGCGCTTGTGCGCAGCCTGCTGAACAGACAGCAGGGAAGGTGGACCTGGTAAAATTTCAGTTGAAAGAGACGGATCTGAAAGACCCTCAAGATGAGGCGGTTGCACCACCGGTACTCCAGGTAACATGTACACCGGAACATCCGCCATGGAAGTCATGATTGAAAGGTGAAGAGAAAGCCGGGTTACAGGAGTCCGTCACTGGTTCCGCCTCTGAAAGTGAATTCGAAAGGAGCAGTTAAGGTAATGAGGGGCAATGGTCGCAGCACTCGCTGAGGGTGCTGTGACAGTAGTGGCAAGCGAGATGTGGAACGACGACATCAACATCGCATTCAACCACAATTTTTCACGAAACTACAGTACAACTTTTGTCCGTCGATACAACAACTACTCATTTCACAACGTTCACTCATTCAGGCGTGCTTCTTTGGTTTCCTGTACCCAACATCGCTCCAGATAAAACCAAATGAGAAGATGTTTCAGGAAAACAAGACAGTGAGACTGCTCCGCTAGCTTCACGGTAGTGATATTTGGTCATATCAGTGCACTGTGGGTACGCGTTGTAAGTCGTTCTGGAAGAACCCATCGATAATGACCTCTGCGCAGGAGGAAAATTAGCCCGCCTCCTCCAAAGGTCGTTGCGTGGGATAAATAAGCAAACAGGAACTACTGAGAGCATAACTGTTTGAAACGAAAGGTGCTCCCGCAAGCGATATTCGAAACGATGACGCTCGTCGCTCATCGGTAAATGGATCCCAGAAGGAATCACGAACTGCGCGCAACAAAGTAGACCTCGTCTATACGATAGAACGATGCTGATCTTGCTGATCTTGCTGATCTTCAGCATCGACCTTGCTGGGAATGTCGCTATGGACCATAACCCGTCGGTTGACCGGCAGTCCATGCATTTTTTATCTCGAAGCATGTCGTCTATGAGTGCGGGACCGTCGATGGGCTTCCCACTGAGAGCCATCTTCGACCACGAAGGGCTGCGACGGATCAAGCGTACACGCAGGGCACACCGCCTTCTTCCGCGCCCGCAATATTTCTGTGGGACTACCGAACTGTTGGCTAAAATATCGAGGATCCCAGAATGCGATGGACGTACCTCGTAGGTTTGACGTCGATCGTCAGCATCTTGAAATTTGATGTGCAAAAATAGTAAACTCGCCAGTGGCGTCTAAAAGGTAAACCGGGAGGAGGGCAGCCGCATGATCGTTACCTCCATTCGCGCTATAGATAGCAGGAAGAAGCTTGTTCTTCAACCACCGTATCTGACGCTTCGGATATTGCCTCGTCCCGTACTTTATTTGCTCCACAGCGGACGCAAAAACCTTCTCGGAGGGCTCTGCAGAAGCGAGGTAATCATGAAACTCTTTATATCCTAGGTCTTGTAAGTCGGTGTCCTAGAAAAAAAACCCGACGAAATTCACCGATAGACTGATAGATGCCGACAGTATAACCAGTCTGCTGCACGGCTGATTCGTCGGACGGCCCTGCGACGACTCCGTCAGGCGAACTGCATGCGGGGGAGGAAGCGATCGATCGATCAAGACCTTCCTGACCTTGATCATGTCGTCTACCCTTGCATCCAAGCGCTCATTCAAGATGGAAGGCTCGGCATAGAGCCAGAAACACAGGGTTCGATACCTGATGCTAGTTCGGTGAAAATGCCACGCCGCTGATAGGAGAATTCAAACCTCGGAATCAACGCCGTTTTAGACTGCTCGATGATAATTTCGCTCGGGGCCATCCCGGTGTCTTTGATCACGCGAAGGCTTTCCATCACTTTGCGCGTATCTCTCCAATGCCATCGCTGAGCGACTGGTTCGTCGAGCGCAGTGAGAAGTCTGTGCAGCAACATCGCATCCTGAGGGTGAGACGCTGCGGATGGAGGATGCTCTGGAAGCGCATTGAATAGCTCGAGGAGTTCGGGAGGTAAGTTGGCAATGGACTGCGTGACGGAATCCGATAACGTTTGCCCTGGAGTGGGCAGCCGATTCGGAAACATGAGATGTTGGATCCAATAAGATGTACCGCCGACAATAATCGGTATCATGTCCATCCGGTGCGTCTCGTCGATCTGCGATCAAGTTGAGACCGAAGTGACGGGGAAGATAAGCAGATAATTTACCGCCTTGATAGCGTCTTGGACCCACTGGCCCACAACGTACTGCTCCCCAGGCTGCTTGAAGTCCATGAGAAGGTGCTCGACTCCCATTCTTTCCGCGACTGGGACTTTGTTCGTGATCACGTCCATCCCAGTGTATACTTGCATGGAGTCGGCGTTGATGATCCTCGCGCCTCTCCATCCGTGTATTCCTTGAGCAATCTTGAGAGCCAGCTCGATGAACAGCTTGGACTTTCCGACGCCCGTGGTCCCACAAATCGTGATTATGGGTCTGAGATTTGACATTTCTGAGGCAGAAGCGGGAGAACTCTAGCGTCTCGAATGTTATCTATAGTGTGTCAGTCGGATATATGTAGCAAAGCCCGCTATCATCATTTTGAAGTTCTGCCAGGTGTTCCGTGCCACTGGCACCCTTCCTTCGCGCGAGTTCTGCCGTGGACCGAAACTTGCGGAGATGTTATTTTGATATGATAACACAGTTTGCGTTTGGTTTGAATTTAATAGAACATGAAAACCGGCGTCCCTGCTGGAGGAAGGCCCCTCGCGTCACTGATCAACGACAATTTCGAGCGTCTGGAACGAGTTTAGATCAGCTCGATTCGCTACTATTGAACATAGAAACATTGTGGCGACACTGATAAGTGATGACTGCATGGTGATCAATGAACCGAGTTACGTAGAATCATTGATAGACGTCCAGAAAATGATGGAATTGAAGTCCGCGGGGGACAAACTGAGTGCCAAATATTGGGAGTGAGTGGACACCGATGACTCGGATATTGTTAATGACAATGACAATGACACGGTTGTCGCAAATCCTGGATTGGACCAGCCAAGGTCCTAAATTCACGCCTAGCTGCATCACAGGAAGATCACGCTGTGACTACGGAGAAACTCGGGGAGATGACTTACGCACTAGAAGGGACCCGCGCTGCATCCAAAGCGTCCGAGGACAGGAGTACTGCTTGCTTGCGCAGTATCTTATCTGCGTCGCGCTGGTGCTCGATCGTGTAGTTCTGCCCACGAGAGTCGAGGATCAAAATCAACTCACACGCTTGCTTGATCCGTGTCGGAAATTTCTAGGCACCATTTTAGGGCCTCGTAATACATTTTAAGGCATAATTTTCACTCACTACCTTTCAAGGTCTCGCAATGATGGAGATAATCTTTCAAGGCGTCTTAAAAGGGAACCGTTCCCACATTACGATGCCTTGCAATGACGGAAGTCTCAGACCAGATCATGTAAGCATTGTAAGGTCGACATGACATTGCAAGACAAAAATAGATTTCCAAGGACTGAGCATGTTTTCTAATTCTATTCTACTGTTGAGATACACACTTAGCTTTGTCACAGCATCACATGTCCAATGAACCGAAGCTATTATTTGTGACAGTCACACCAGTTTTGAGGCTGCCGAACCTAAATTGTGACAAGTGGTAAAACCATCAAAAAATGTATCTAGTGCATCCAAAAGTCTTTGTACTGAGTGTTTGCAACATGTGTTACAAACTAGGGTAGTTCTAACAACAGACAACTCGATAAGAGTCAAGGACTTCTGTTGAGATTCTATGCAAGATGATAAGTTGAGCATTCAGTGTAAGCTAAGTCAAAGGGAGTGCCTTTAACTTAAAGTATGGTTCAGATGACAAGAGATTGGAGGTCTCAAGTGAAGGAAGTTCAGGGTAAAACCTAGTAAGATTAAAGTGAAGAGCTAAAGTGTACAGGAGAACTATTTATAGTGAACTACTGTGCTTTAGGGCAGACGTGAGAATGAAATGAGTTAGAGATAAGAAATGCATAAGCGATAACAAGAATAAGTCATCTAGCAACGGCAGCAGCAGTTGTGATGTAATACAAGGTGTGAGTCAGAGATAAGTCTAGTGGTGGCATCATGCGGCTCATGATGTAATACACAGTAAGAAAGAGGAAAATGAATAGGAGTGTACATGGTTGTAACATTACCCCTCAATTAGGGATGAAGTCACCGACTTCAAATATCTTGGTTAGCCCAGTAAATTGGGTCAGTGTCATAGTTAGAGTCTAGCAAATTGTTTTGCTCCTCTGTAATAGTAAATGATTGTTTATCAGCTATCTTGGCAGCATGATAAATGGCATCCTGCTCAATCTCCCAGCGAGCAAGGGCTTCATAGAAACCACTGTCAGTCCAAACCAGTGGAATGACTGCTTCACCCTTCAAGTCTTTACAAAAGACCGATAGATGCCTGGGTGCATACTCTTTGCAAACCTGGCAATAGTATGCTGGGCAGTTCTTATGATGATGCCCAGCGATGCGACAGTTACGACATATGATGTTGTCAACAGTTGCTGTTTTTATGGTGGTGATGGTGGATGACTGTGCAGGTGGGGATGGGGATCTGGACCATCATTTACAGTTTCTACATAGCTGGCTTACCTGACACAATCCGTTGATTAACTGGGTTTCACACAGCATCGAGTTCTGGACTTCATCTCATGGAATGCCATTGACCCCTCTGATATCACCTCCACCACCTCCAGTGGAAACTACCCCTCTGACTACTCCAGACATCTCTGCTGATACCTCCGAGCCTAACATTTCTCTAATCAATGCAGTTGCCTTTTGCTGGGCCTGCAAGTTAGAAGGCTCCAAGCAGTTCAGCATCTTCCTACATCCTTCCAGTGCCAAGATCCATTCCATATCCACTTCGTCCAATGCTCTGGATCTATCTGCGATCCCTCCAGAGTATCATGAATATGCGGATGTCTTTGACAAGGGCAAAGCCAGCCAACTTCCTCCTCATAGGCCTTATGACCTAAAAATCAACTTAGAGGAAGGTACTGCTCCACCCCTAGGCACCATATATTCCCTTTCACTAGTTGAGCTTGAAGCTCTCTGGAAGTTCCTGGATGAAAATATCTCATCTGGACTCCTCCATTCCTCCTCCTCTCCACATGGAGCCCCTGTCCTGTTTGTCAAGAAGAAGGATGGCTCCCTGCATCTTTGTGTGGATTTCCATGGCCTGAACAAGATCACCAAGAAAGACTGCTATCTGTTGCCCCTCATTGCTGACCTCTTAGACTCTCCAAGCCGTGCCAAAGTTTACACTAAGATTGACCTCCGGTCTGCTTATCATCTTGTCTGGATCTCTTCTGGAGATGAGTGGAAGACAGTGTTCCAGACACACTATGGCTCCTATGAGTGGTTAGTTATGCCTGAGGGTCTCACCAATGCTCCAGCGGCTTTCCAGTGTTTTGTCAATAGCATCTTTGCTGATATGCTTGACATATGCATTGTGGTGTATCTGGACAACATCCTCATCTACTCCCATGACCTTGCATCCCATAAGCAACATGTCTGAGAAGTACTTTGATGACTCCAAAAGCATTGACTCTATGCCAAACCAGAGAAATGCGAGTTCCACTCCGATTCCATAGAATACCTTGGTTACCTCCTGTCTCTGGAAGGCCTTACTATGTCATCCAATAAAGTCAAAGCTATCATTGACTGGCCAGAGCCACAGAAGGTCAAGGATGTTCAATCCTTCCTTGGATTCGCAAATTTCTATCATTGTTTCATCTTCAACTACTTGGACATCGTCACTCCACTCACCTGGCTTACATGCAAGAATGTTAACTGGGACTTTTCAGAGGATTGCCAGAAATCATTTGCTGCACTCAAGAAAGCTTTCACATCCACTCTGGTGCTTACACGCTGGATCCCAAATGTTCCTATTGTCATTGAGACTGATGCCTCTGACTATGCTATCACTGGAATACTGTCCATTGTATGTCCGGACTCAGAGCTTTGTCTGGTAGTGTTCTATTCTAGAACCCTGTCTGCTCCAGAACTCAACTATGATACCCATGACAAGGAACTCCTAGCCATATATGAAGCTTTCTGGACCTGGTGACACTACCTAGAAGGCTTGTCCAAGCCTATTGACATTGTCATGGACCACAAGAATCTTGAGTACTTCGCAACCACCAAACTCCTCTCTTGCCAT